CAGAAAGAGTTTTAGGTTTTCATTAAGTAAAATAACTTGACATTATATGACATGATGATATATTGTGTGTAATATTACTTTTTATGTACTAAGAACAGTGTACATAGATTGACATATACAGCTTAAGTCAGAATTATTAGCCCGCTTTTGATTATTATTTTTTTTTTTATATTTCCCAAATAATGTTTAACAGAGCAAGGAAATTTTCACAGTATGTTTGATAATATTTTTTTCTTCTGGAGAAAGTCTTATTTGTTTCAGTTCGGTTTGAATAAAAGCAGTTTTTATTTAAAATAAAAAAAAAAACATTTTAAGGACAAAATGATTAGCCCCTTTTTTATCCAACAAAACAAACCATCGTTATACAATAACTTGCCTAATTACCCTAACCATAAGCTAATTACCCTGGTTAGCCTGTAAATGGCACTTTAAGCTGTATAGAAGTGTCTTAAAAATATCTAGGAAAATATTATTTACGGTTATCATGGCAAAGATAAAAATAAATTAGTTACAAGAAATGAGTTATTAAAACTACTAGAAATTTGTGGAAAAAATCTCTCCATTAAACAAAAACTCGGGGGGAAAAAAAAAACAAGGCGGCTAATAATTAAGGGGGGGGGGGGGACTAATAATTCTGACTTCAACTTAATATAAATTATATATATATATATATATATATATATATAATGTATAAAATGATTTGTCTATAGCACAAACAACAAGGTACAAGCTATATTAAAAAAATTTAATACATAGATTTAGAGAATCATTTCAAAAGTATGTGCATAGCACCAATGCTTTCCTCCAACTCTGAGCAATTTTTCGTCGATTTGTGTCTCATCTGACCCGTAGCAATGTTCTCTCTCTCTACTTTCGGGCCGCAGTGGATTGTAACCTGTGACTGACGGCCTCAAGGTCCAATTCCAGCACTTGAAACAAGAAATTATGAAATGAATTCTTCTGGAGTGAATACCTTACTTCTAACATTTCAGCAGCTCACCCACGCTCTCATTCTGCCCTCCAGACCTTGGCACTCAGTTTACTGTGCTGTAATAAAACACACACACACTCACACACATATTTGAGTGTAAACATCTTATCAAAGCCGAGCCTCATTTCAGCGCTCTCTCATTACCAGCTTTTCTCCATCTGCATTCACTGACTTTGCTCTTGCTGGAATCCAGTCTGGCCTTTATGACTGCGGTGACATTGACATCAATTAAATGGAAATATGTACCGAGCAAAATGAAACGCAACTATGGCGCCGCAGTTCAATTAAAAACCGACTTAATAGTACCAGGCAGGAAGAAGGTGAGAAAATCAACTTGAGGGGAAGATGAAATGAGCAAAATAAAACATAAACAGCACGTGTGTGCGCTTCTTATGTCAAGAGACCCCATCAAAAAGCGCTGTTGACCTTTAACCTGTATTTCCGATTCAGAATTGTAAGATTAATTCATTTGCTCAGGTATAAATAACGTAGCTGTCATAATAACTGGGTTTTGATATTTATGTTTGATAGAATTTTTAGATTTTGGAGTTTTCACATTTATTATATAAGGCTTTTTGATATTAGTTTGATTACAATACAAATTTTTGAAGAAAAATGATAATAATTATAATGTAGTATGCACCAATATGAATTTTGACCAATACCGATAACCAAAACTGTTTATTTGGAGGTTTTAATATTAGCAATGAAATATATATATATATATATATATATATATATATATATATTTTTTTTTTTTTTTTAAACACTTTCAAGTGTTTTATTTCGATACACTTTGTTTTTTTATATAGATAACAATACATGTTTTAAAAGACAAGTATAATTTTAAATTAATATTACATTAAAAATTAATTTTAAAATAATGGTCCATCAGTTAATGTTATAGTTAATGTATTTACTAACATAAACAAACAATTAGTAATACATTCATTGAGGTATTAATTTTTCTTATTAACAGTTGTTAATGTTATTTCAGTTAAATAACATTAGTTCATGTTAACTGACTGTGCATAATGTTAATAATGCATTAGTTAATGTTGGACTAATTAATTTATGCTTCACAAGATTGCTCATACTTACTTAGTGCCCTATCATACACCTCGGCACAATAAGGCGCAAGACCTGTCTGGCGCGATTTGTTGCTTTTTTCAGGCTAGGCAACCCTAAGTCTCTCGCTTTGCGCCACGTTGTTTACACAGTAAATCCATTAGCACCACATTGTGGACTCAGGGTGTTACGGTCTAGAAAAGAGGTGTGTTAAGACACATTGTTGGCACGTTGCTATATTGAGGAACTAAAATTGAAAATTAGAATTGAATTTAGAATTAGTTTTGAAACAAATCTTTGCGCTTAACAAAACACAATTAATTGTGTCAGCTAATGGATGTCTTCAGTAGAGTGCGTACAACACTGTTTCCTTATCCATGAAAGTAAAGGAGTAAAGAGTAAAAGTAAAGTAAAGTAAAGAGGTCAAATTAAGGAGGCTCGTTCTTTATCCTCGCACTGCAGATGTTTTCTCGCTAGTGGAGCATTCAGTTGTTCAACTTACAAATTCGGCCATGTAAATAGCAAATGCGCCATGGCGTGACACAACTGACTCTTTAAGTGAATGGGAGAATAGACTCTGATTGTTTTAATGCATGTTATGCTCAAAACACACCCATAAGAATAAACACAACCCTGTTAGACCATGCGCCATAAAGTAGCATAAGTACATTCAGACAGGCCTTTAATGCTTTTGCTCCATGCGCTTTAGATTTTGCACCTAGATCGTTAAAATAGAGCCCTTAATGTTAGTAAATACATTACCTACAGGACCATTATTCTAAAGTGTTACCAGTAATTATAATGATGTATGCACCGATATGGAATTTTAAACAATACCAATAACTTTTAAGAAAAATTTTTAGCCTTTTATTTAGGTTTTTATATTAGCTGATAAAAAACAAAACAAAAGTAAAATGACTACAGTGAACTGATTTTACAATAAAGCAACCAAGTCACTAAACATTAACCAAAATACTAATAAAATATTAAAAAGCGTGGCCGTCACAGTGGGTAGCACGTTTGTCCTAAATGTTCATTTTAGCATCACTTACATACACCTATAAACCTTACACTTTTATTCATAACTGTACTCTGAAGATTTTTCACAGAAGCATATGCTCAAACACAATTTGCATGAGTACACACAACATTTTATTCAGCAAAAATGTGAAAATGCATTTTTCTCTGGTTCTTCGCAGTAGTTTCTGAATTATGGGAAGATAGAAAGAGATTTAAAAAACTCACTCTGGAAAAAACCCTTGAGTCTAATGTGGGAAAAAATAAAACAAGAATTTTGAACATGACTTAAACTGGAAATATATGTAAATTATGGCATATTAAGTTAAATAAAGAAAAAAATAAATAAATAAAAATAATGAATAAATTACAGTATAAAGAAGATGATAATTGTATTTTCTATTATTAATACTATATTAAAATTTATAACCCTGTTCCCATAAAGTGCCCTGGCTTAACAGAATAATAGCTCAGAAATAAAATAAATAAATAAATAAATAAAAATTCTGGCTTTATTTTATTTGCACTCCATGTGATCCAAATCCATTTGTGTTTCTTTCTTCAAACACAAAGGAAGATGGTTAGAAGAATGTTGAACTGGTTAACTGGTTAACTTGCTGGTTAACTTTTATAATTTTGTTTTGTTTTCGTCCACTATGGAAGTCAACAATATTCTTCAAAATATCTTATCATTTGATCTACAAACACACACAGGATTAGAACCACCTTATGATGAGTAAATTTTACATTTTGGGTGAACTATACCTTTTAGTGACTCATGTCGCTGAATTCACAGCTCCATCTGGGTCCATCTTGTTCCTACTGCTCCCGGGTCACTTCCTCTCTGACTTCCTGTCAGGCTTCCAGCTGGTGTCACTTGTGAATTAGAGTATCCCGACTCCAGAAACTGTTCATCAGTGTGGGTGGTGGACTGGACCTGTGTCTGTTGTGTCTTCGGGTGATGCCAGGTCACATTTGACTGCAGTTTCCAGCTGAGGCTCAACAGCTCTTCTTAGACCGGATCGAGTGACTCTCTGGTCCAGCTGGATCTCCAGACGCACTGCTTGCATGTGTGGCCTGTGTACAAAAAAGAGACTTGAGACTAAATGCAAGTGGAACCAATTAATGCAATGATAGTTAAAGGCAAAGTCCCCACTATAAATGGGATGAGCTGTGCCTTTTTTTTCTCAACAGTTTGACTGTATAATTGTGTATGTAAAAAAGAAAATAAAACATGAAGAGTTTAAAAACCCTTTTGTTAGAGGAACAACTTTTTTCCGCCATTCATTCACATCTGCAGATAATGTCAGAACAGCAGAAACCATTGCTACTTCACAATGTCACTTTAGAGCTAGAATTTGAATGATTCAATATGTCTAAAGTGATGACAAAACAGGTGATTTTGCTGACATTTTAAAGAGCCCATATTATGGGTTTTTGAAAATGCCCTTCCATGTAGTTTGTAACACAGTGCACAAGTGAAGTATCCAGCTAAGGCCTAAATCCGTAAGTGTACATTGTTTAAAACTGGTGATTCATCTATAAAAGAGTCGACTCATAGTGCTTTAATCGAGTCGCCTTGATAACGAGTCATTAGGTGTTTCGCCATGATGTACAAACGAAACCAAGTTATTCACGTACACGCGCAAACCCGGGAGATTTGAAACCTGCAGCCCCGCCCTCTAACACAGAAACCTAGACACACACACCCACAAACACACACACACAAACATGCCGGTTGATTGAAGTCACACTGCAGATGGATATATTGAGTCTCTACCCAAAGATGAAACCTCAGCATTATAACCAAGCAGTTGGAAACTACTGGAAACTTCTGGAAACTACATGCTACAAAGAATTCTTCATCGCCGTTTGTTATGTTTGTACACTTACATAACAGTAATTAAGACAATCACACCGGAGCTGCTCTGAACACGTCTTTACTTCACTATTGCAACAACCACATACACACACACACCACTAGAGTGCGTCGTAACTGAACAATCAATTTGTTACTAACTCAATATACAACAATTCCTCCCCTCCAGCATTGATGTATCCCTTCAAGCTGCATTACATTATATTTACCAGTAAGTATACAAGCACTCCAAACACAACAATGCAGAACTTATTCAACTATGCAAATAGTTGTAACAGTTATTTCAGCTAGTTATCATATGTATATATGAATAACTATAAGTTTAGTCTGTCAGGTGGTTTGTGAACACGCTCAGGATAACGTTTCGCTTGAGGCATTGCGTTTTGAGATGAGGACTGAGCACTGGACACCTGAACAGTTTCTGATTCGGTTACACCAGTGTCTGTAGAGGGAAACTCTGGTGTTATGAGTGCATACTCATCAGGGCATGGGGAAGTTTCCACATTCTCTGTTACGTTTTGAGAAGAATCAACCTGTGAGGTTGCATCCAAAAGCTGGTCAATGTGTCTGCGCCAAACCATGTTGGCACCAACTTGTACAGTGTAAGTAAGGGGCCCAGTCTTGGACAATATCTTGCCTGGTTGCCACTTTTGATGTGTTTGTCTGTAGTCTCTAGCCAGTACATTTTGTCCAACATGTAACGTCCTGAGTACGGATTGCTTTGTGTTTTTCTGACACTGTTTGGCTTGCACATGTCGGCGTAGATCAGGCTTAAGTAAGTCTAAGCGCGTACGAAGACTTCTCCCCATAAAAAGTGTGGCTGGAGATTGACCTGTAGTCGCATGTGCAGCATTTCTGTAGGCCAGCAGGAAGTTTGCAATCTTTTCTTGTAGAGACACTTTTTCCTTTCCCATGGCCTTTAGTGACTGTTTTAGGGACTGAACAAAGCGTTCCGCTAAACCGTTCGTAGCAAGATGGTAAGGAACAGATGTTGTGTGCCTTATTCCATTGCTTTTGACAAATGACTGGAATTCCTCCGAAGTAAACTGCGTACCGTTATCACTGACTAACTGCTCTGGCAAGCCAGTGCGAGAGAACAATGTGCGGAGCAGTTCTACAGTCATCGTGGATGTTGCATTTTTGATGGGAAATACCTCTGGCCATTTTGAATATGCATCCACTACCACCAGAAGCATTTTGTCAAAAATGGGTCCTGCATAGTCAATGTGAACTCGCTGCCAGGGGCTGGTAGGAAATTCCCACACATGTAAAGGTGCTGCCTTTGGCTGTCGCTGAATTTGCTGGCATCCAGAGCATGCCTTAGCAAGATCTTCAATTTGGCGATCTAGCCCTGGCCACCAAACATAGCTCCTGGCCAGGCTTTTCATTTTCACAACCCCTAAATGTCCTTCATGTAAGGCAGTGAGTACTCTGGCTTGTAGCTTATGTGGAACTATCACTCGAGTACCCCACATGACACATCCTTGTGTTACAGAAAGCTGTTCACGACGATTTGAGTAGTCCAACAGTTGAGGATCCCCTTTAGCTGGCCATCCTTTCATGGTCAGGTCAAACACCTTGGACAGTACCGGGTCTCGACGAGTCTCATTTTGAATTTGAGCACTTGTGACTGGTAAAGGTTCCATTTGAACAATGTGAAACATGTCCGTTTCATCTGTCCCCTCATCTGCATTCTCATGAGGAAGGCGCGACAGTCCGTCTGCGTTTCCATGGTGCTTAGTGCCCTTGAACTCAATCGAATAGTCATGACCACCTAAAAACAACGCCCATCGTTGTAGGCGTGCTGCAGCCATTACTGGGACACATTTGTTGGGGCTGAAAATGGCCACTAATGGCTGATGATCTGTGATCAGAGTGAAGTGTTTTCCATACAAATATTGATTAAACTTCTTCACTCCCCATACTAAGCTTAAGCCTTCTCGATCAATCTGTGCATATTTGCGTTCTGACACAGTCAAGGATCTAGACGCAAATGCAATTGGCCGCTCAGATCCATCAGTCATTTTGTGAGACAAAACTGCACCTATGCCGTATGGTGAAGCGTCACATGCAACACGCAGGGGTAGACTGGGGTCATAATGTGTTAACACAGTCTCTGACGTGATCAGTTGCTTAGCCATCTTGAACGCCTTGTCACAGTCCTTTGACCACACCCATTTACTTGTCTTTTGAAGCAAAGCATTTAATGGATGTATAACTGTGGAGAGATTTGGTAAAAATCTGTGATAATAGTTCACCAGTCCAAGAAACGAACGAAGCTGGTTCACGTTCTCTGGTCTTGGTGCATTAAGTACGGCATTGATTTTGTCTGGAGACTTGTGAAGGCCTGCCTTGTCAATCCGGTGTCCACAGTATTCAATTGAATCTTTGAAAAATTCACATTTGCTCCTATTTGCTCTCAGACCATACTCAGCCAGTCTTTCCAGAACAGCATTCAAGTTTGCCAGATGGGTTTTATCGTCATGGCCCGTGACTATAATGTCATCTAAATAGCACTGTGTGCCAGCGACACCCTGCAAGACTTGATCCATGGCTCTTTGCCACACAGCTGGTGCTGACGAGACCCCAAATACAAGTCTGTTGTAGCGAAAGAGACCCTTATGCGTATTTATTGTCAGGTACTTTTTAGACGATTCTTCCATCTCCATCTGCAAATACGCCTGGGCAAGATCAATTTTTGAAAAACGCTGCCCACCTGACAGTGACGCAAAAATGTCATCAATGAGAGGCAATGGTCTGCCTGTAAGACTGGATTAATCGTGACTTTGAAGTCGCCACAAATTCTTACATCACCACTCTTCTTGACAATTGGGACTATAGGTGTAGCCCAGTCAGTCCAGTTTACCTTAGACAGGATTCCTTGGTCTTCTAGTCGCTTTAGCTCCGCCTCCACTTTTGGGCGTACTGAATATGGTACAGGGCGTGCTTTGTGAAATTTTGGTTGCACATCACTTTCAACCTTGAGCCTTGCTTTAATGTGTTTCAGAGTTCCAATTCCATCTTGGAAAACTTGTGCATGTTTCACTAGCACCTCCTCTAATTTGTCTTGCTGAAGTGTTGTTTCCGGGGTAACTTGTATAGCTTTTAAGGACTGCCAGTTAAGCCGAATGCTCCTCAGCCATTCTCGTCCAAATAAGGGTACTCCCCCCTTTTTCAGCACATAAAGATTCAAGACTCGCCTTTGTTTTTCACATTTTACTCTCACCTTCAGTTTTCCCATGGGTGAGATTTTCTCTCCTGTATATGTCTTGAGTATTACAGATGTGTGCTTTAGTTTGAACTTTTCAAAATGGTCTTTGTAATCCTTGTACGATATTATTGACAGTGCCGATCCTGTATCAAGCTCCATTTTCAGTTTTACTCCCTCAATGATAGGACTCACCCAGATGATTTCGCGATCTGTCTCTTTAAGGGCGTGTAGTTCAATGTATGAGAGGCTTGCCACATCAGAGTTTTCTGTATCAGATTCGTTCAGCTCATGCATCTTAGTGTGTCTTTTTCCAAATGACTTTCTTTTATTTTCAGTTGCTTTTGTTTTACACATTTTCTGTATGTGTCCCTTGCGATGACATTGTCTGCACTCCTTCTCTTTAAACCAGCATTCAGTAGGGCTATGTGACTTTTTCCCACATCTGAAACACAATGAATTTTCACTTTTCTTTGACGTGAACTTGTTTATGTGACATTCAGAGATCGCCTTTCTCTGTAATTCCAGCGCATCTTTTGCGGCTGTCTCCATAGAAACGGCAATTTCAAGCGCTCGCGCCAACGTGAGCTCTCTTTCAGTAAGGAGTCTCTTTTGCGTGCTCTCGCTGTGAATGCCGCAAACAAGCCTATCCCTGAGCGCGTCAGACAAACCATCACCGAATTGGCAGTGCTCTGCGAGTCTCCGGAGCTCGGCCATGTACTCCGATACAGACTCTGTCTTGTGTTGATTTCGCTTATGGAAGCGAAAGCGCTCCGCGATCGTCAATGGTTTCGGATTTAAATGCGTTTGCAGCACTTCCACAATCTCTTTGAAAGTTTTCTCGGCTGGCTTAACTGGTGCTGATAAACTGCGTAAGAGGTTGTATGTTTTTGCCCCCATTACACTCAAGAGAACGGCAACTTTTCTCTCGTTCCCGATGTCATTGGCTAAGCAATATTGCTCAACTCTCTCCACATATGTTGCCCAGTCTTCCACCGTGCTTTCAAAAGCATCCATTTGTCCGATGCACGCAGCCATTTCTGTTTCGTCTTCCCTTTCGGTTCGTTAATATATGTATATACTGTACATTACCCACTGCACGTTGAGCCTGATGATGAAACTTGCTGCACAACTGGGTGTTTACAATCCTCGTCGCCAGTTCTGTTATGTTTGTACACTTACATAACAGTAATTAAGACAATCACACCGGAGCTGCTCTGAACACGTCTTTACTTCACTATTGCAACAACCACATACACACACACACCACTAGAGTGCGTCGTAACTGAACAATCAATTTGTTACTAACTCAATATACAACACCGTTTGTTAAAGGAAGGATCAGTAAAGAGTACTTGGGTTCCTTCCCCTATTTCTCAAGTGTAAGTACGTGCGATTAAAGTTGTTGCCTTGTGTACTCTAGCTTGCAAATGTATTTAGTTGTGATTTGTTACTTGTAACCGCATGTGCTGTATCAGGTTAACTCGATATATTCTCATATTGCGTGCAAAGCCACGTTAAAAACGTGACGCGTGCTGCTTTGTTTACGGAGCTCCGTGGAGGAGGGTAGTGTGTGTGTGCGTGTGCGCGCGCTGTTGTCTGGAGGTGTGTGTGTGTGTGTGTGTGTGTATAAATATTTGTGTGTGTATCCGCGCGTTGTCGTCCGGCGGAGGGTTAAGTGTGTGTGTGTGTGTGTGTGTGTGTGTGTGTGTGTGTGTGTGCGTGTGTGTGCGCGCAAGGACGAGGGCAATATGTGTGTGTGTGTGTGTCTGTGAAAAGAGCAGAGTGAGACAAGATAGAAGATCTCCTCAACTGTTTTTGGAGTTTTTGCTCAATAGAATAGTTAGTCGTCTGTATTTTCAAGTCCATCGTCTGTATTTACATTGACCCACTGGCAGCTAAAATCCACGCCTACACTATCGAGCGTGTATGAACTGTGATTACTTTTATATTGCTGATTAGCTGTTGGGCATTTCACTCTGACTGAAGGCAGTCAGTCGACCATTCGCAACAGACTGTCATCGGTCCAATCAGCGCAGATTACAGTAGCTCCGCGCTATGGAGGGGTTTGGGAACAAATGAATCACTGGACGATTCATACGGGAGTCGCTGGGATAATTAGGTAAAAATAAATGCAGATTATAAGACCATGAAAGTGTTTTTTGACCTTGCATGCATATTAGACTGTTGTTGGAGACCCTTACAACCAAGATATGACCCTATTTCATGTATAATATGGGCTCTTTAAGACTATAAGGCTAAACGGCATGAAAAGCCATCATTCTACAGAGATTTCCCAGCATTTCTTTGTTGCAATCGGGATATCACAATAATTAACCCTGAAAAAGTGAAAAAGCCAAAGCAAAGCAAGAAACACTACCAGATTATAATATAAATACAGCACTACAACATACAAAAGAAAGAGATCAACAATGAAAAGTCATGTATCTCTTTTCCTGTTTAATATGATTTGATTTGATTTATTAGATCTGGTGTAGTTTGATCAGCTTTAGTTTTAAATTCCACTGAGTTTATCTCCTCTAAGGGCTTATTATATGGTCTCTGTCACCATATTGTGGCGGAACAACCCCATTCTTGCATAAAAAAAGCCTCAAAAGTACATTATGTTGTCCAACAGCTGCAATATTGTCAAACTCTAGTAAGTTTATTCATCTGCTGTCATTCTATGTGGGTGGAGGGATACAGAAGGGTGAGGAGGATGAGTGCTGTTATTGCAAAATATTACACAACTATCTGCCAATCAGAATCAAAAAACAATCAAAAACCCAACAGAACTGTTGTATAAATAAATATATTTACATATCTTTGTCCAGCAAAAATAAACATATAATAGTACATTACAAATGTACACAAAACCAGAACATTGTATGTACTTTATATCCAATTAGTCACATAAAATGATGCCACATTCTGTGTGTTTGATGAATCATGGCAGGGGATAGACGTGTCTGGTCACAAACAACCTTAAGGCTAGAGCTCAGGATCTTAGTGTGTGTTTACTGTGTTTAATGTCGCCACTCATGAATAAATCATCACCACTGCTGTTCAAATGAGATTATGAAGAGGCAAATAATTCTCTCCAAGCTAAACATTTGAAGTTTGACGCCAAAATCAGCGACTTCTGCAAGAACTGTGTTCGGACACAAAAATGGAGAGCTAAAAACCTCACACGAATTCCATCTCAGCATAACAAATGAACCTCATTGGTTTAAAATTATGATGAGAACAGAGTTTGCAGAGAAGCAGAAAACTTTATGTCTTTCATCCAAAAAAAAAAAAAAACATGAATATTGGACAGTTGAATCCATGAATATACATGAAAGAATGTTTTATTTTAGCGTTATTCACTCTTGTCAGGACAGAGACGAGATCATTCTGAAGGCTTCTCACACGTTCAGCGCTTCATATCCTTATTTAATTTTCTATTTTAGCAGCTGTCAGAGACGCCTGCGTTTCATCATGCTTTTAGGAGAAGAAGAAATGAAGAAAAAAACTGTTTAATAATTCAAGCCCAATGTCACTGATATCAGGGTTTCTAATTATGTTTGAATATTTATATATTATTTATACCAAAATACAAATTCAAAAAAAATATATATGAATATAATCATCTACATTAATATTTTAATGCAATTGTGCATTTTTTTAATCTTAGGCCAACAACTATATATAACATATTTCAATGTTTTAAAAATGTCTCTATAAAAATCATAAATTACTGCTAATGTCAATGTTTTTGTTAATATTAACACTAATACTAATACTAATACTACTACTACTAATAATAACAATTATTATTATTATCATTATACACTCAAAAAATTACTTTTGTTGTATAAAATGAGTTAGAACAACACAATTTCTAAGTTTTTTTTTTTTTTTTGGATTTTATAATTAATATACCTAAATTTGTAAAAACAATAAACTTAATTAACTCAATTAACGTAATTAATTTGGGACATCATGAAGCAATTGTGAGGAACCATATGTAATATATCTACTCTAATAAGTCCACAGCAACAGCATCAACAACAACAAGAACAACAAGAACAACAACAATAAAAATAATGTCACAAACTGTTTTCATAAAAATTAAAACAACAATATTTATAGATAATATAAAAAATATGATAATATTATTTTATAATTTTATTATTTATTTCATAATATTTATAATATGTCCCTTTATTAATCTGGGGTCGCCACAGCAGAATGAACCACCAACTTATCCAGCATATGCTTTTACGCAGTGGATGCCCTTCCAGCTGCAACACATTTTTGGGAAACATTCACACACACTCATTCACTACGGATAATTTAGCC